TTCTTCTTTCAGTTGAATCTGTTATAACTGGTATTAAAAAAACTTAAAATTAAAGAAAAATAATTTTTCTAGCGAAGCTTTATCCATGTTTCTACCACCGGATGTTAATGACCAAAATTAGTCATGTTCTGATAGTGATTACCCTTTGGATTGTAATTTTAATTAAATTAAAACGTTAATTTAATATTTTGATAATATTTGAAGTGTGTCTTGTAGTAAATTATTTTGGTTGAGTTTTCTTTTTTTTGTCTTCAACAAATAATAGTAATTTATATATCTACTAATACCTAATAAGCTGTTTTACTACTAAATTTTTTTACAACTTTTTAAGGAATAGCCTGTACCTAATTTAAAAGGTGTCAGTTATAATGATACACCCTGTATAGTGTCAATAATATCTCTGTTGATATTAGTTTGTTACATTTACACATTAGACATATTCTAGAATACAAAAGTATAAGCTTTAGTGCTTTCCAGAATTGTTGGTAAGTTTTGATACTTTTTGCCCCTGTGTGCGTCGTTACGCTCCATAGTGGCGATGTAATCGGGATCAGAAAGGTTTTATCGTAAGAGAATTTGTAACGATTTGATACAAACTGGCTTCTACATTGTTTATTTTAAAGCTAGGATTTGATATGGTATGATTTCCAAATTCGCAATTTGCTCAGGAGAACTCTTAATAATTCCTGGCACAGAACTACTTTCGAATACGACCACCGCGTTACTGATTATTTCAGAAATATTCTCAGGGCTCAGAAGCTGTTCCGAGTTAAGCTCGAGAAAATACTTATTGTTAAGATCACTTATATTTGTCAAATTCAGGTAATTTTCTTGTTTATGGTCTTCGTTTACTGTTTCTGATTCATTTGAGTGCAGAATTTTAGCCATTCCGACTATCTCTCTTCCTCGGTTGGACATTATTATATTAGTAGTTTTATACAGTACCTCGTAAGTGCTAAAACTCTATTTGAATTTTCAAAAATGCAGGATCTCGTGTCACCTGGAAAGAAAAAGCTTTTTGGGGCAAAACAACTCTTTTAAAAGTAATAAAAAATTATAGATGTTTAAAATCATCTTACCAGCTAAGAAGACGAAGCACTTCCACGAACTACAATAATAACGTTCGATAATATGGAGATGCCTGACAGATACGAGGTAATGCTTTCAAAATTGGCGCGAATGTAAATACGAGATTATGAATTTTGCGATTTACCGCTAAAACTGAAAACCTTAGAGCATTGAAAATTGATTAACTTCAAACTTGGTTAACAGATGGCATCATCAGTTCTACGGAATATTTCACAAGAAAAGTATTTTCGCAAAAAATGTTAGTTACGAGGTCCTGCGTTTTGACCCTCGTCATGTCAATTTTAACAAAAAAATGCTAGGTACTAGAAAAAATGTACTACACTACATTGCTGAGATTTCGTCCACGTACACACTTCGCCTGAAGCACAAACAGGTTGACCCAAAATGCCAATGAAAACGAAAAAAGGCGTTTTGTTGGCGGTTAATAGTACATTAAAAGCCTGCTTGAATGAAAATCCTAGCTGATCCTTTTTTCAAGATAAGTGGATTTTCACTTTTTTATACTTTTTCATCATAATTAACCCGGGAACGCCCAATCCACCAAAATTTTCCACCCCAAGTTTTTGTTCTCGAGGCCCATGCGATGGTAGTTACAGCTCTTGAGAGTGATCGTTTTTACCCCTGAGAGGCTTTTTTCACGAGAAAAACGCTCAAACTGAGGCTGTTTGAGTGTGTTTTAAAATTGTATCCGCTGCAGGCCTAAGATGGGTGGATTTCCCCTTTTTCGTAATTTTTCACCATTATTGAGCAATATTGTTTCTTGGTGGTGCTATTATTTAAGCATGTAAGTTTGTGTGTGTGTGTACGCGTGTGTGTGTGTGTGTGTGTGTGTGTGTGTGTGTGTGTGTGTGTGTGTGTGTGTGTGTGTGTGTGTGTGTGTGTGTGTGTGTATGTGTGTGTTTTTGTTGTTCGTGTCCATATACGTGATCAAGCGCCAAGCTCGTTCTGTCGATCAATCAAATAACAGAAAATTAGTTATAAAAATCACCGCTATGCAACGCATGGTACACACCGGGCACTCCCGCGCAATAGAAAATCGAATCTGTAGATCATAAATGAATTTTCATTTCATAGCCGCTCCCTATTATATTGGTAGAAAGTATTCTCTTGAAAAATTTTGTTATCTCTGGTCTCCAAGATCATGGAAAAAATATCCTATCAACTCACTTAGATCATAAATGCGATCACGAAGAGAATAGGTTGAAAGTATGTGCACCATGTGGTAAAAAAATCGTTGTTGCCAATCGTCGATGATCAGAATTTTCAATTACTGCAAATCTTACTGGTTTAATTAAGCAGCATATAAACCATCAGTTTGACCTGTCTAATTCTAAGGGTAATCTAAACAGGCCACTTCCAACAATGCCTAATTATGAGGACATGCATTTAGCAAAAGAAACTAGAACCAGGACAACTTCACGATTCAGAGGTCATTCTAAAATAGTTAAGGGCAAAGGTAATGTACGTACTTTTGATACTATAATAGATCAAAATTGTGGTCTTTATGGAGATGCTTCAAATCCCGATATTTCGTCTACAAGTGGACAAAGTAATACTGAAAAGATAACGTCTAGGAACATTTGCAATTACTGTTTTCAGAAAATTGGCAAAGGTTTGCGTCATTCTTGTGACGCAGGTCCTTCTTCATCTAGTATCCGTGAAAACGTCTTGAGTTTAGTAGAAAGATTACCAAAAAAGCAATAAAACCAAATAGTAACATCGATTTAAAAAAAAAGTCTGATGAAAGTACGATCGATGGTGATATTATATTAAATACAACAGGGTCTAAAATGAGGGTAACTTAGAATAAAAGAATCCAAAAGGAAATCGTTTTTATCAGTGAAGGTTTAGACAAATTCCAATCGACTACTGGAGCATCTTAAAATCAGATGAATAAAATGACCAATTTCATTAGAAGTTTTGCCGGAAGAAAATCTATTCCAAAAAATTATGAACAACATATGCGTGAAAAATCTAATTCATTGGAAGATATTTATGAAGAAGCTATTTGCCCTTTTGAAGCCAAAGAAGGTATGGTTAATAGACCTGTTGTATATGCTAATGCTAGGCCTACAGGGGATATCACTTTAAACAAAATGCGCCATGATATTTATCTCGTTAGATGGTGTGGAAAAAATATCGCTTAAACATTAAATTATAAAAAAGTGAAAATCCACCTATCTTGAAAAAAGGATCAGCTAGGTTTTTGATTCAAGGGGTCTTTTAACGTACTATTAACCGTCAACAAAACGACGTTTTTCGTTTTCATTGACATTTTGGGTCAACCTGTTTGTGCTTCAGGCGAAGTGTGCGTAATAATCAGCCCAAAATATTTTTTCCAGGGATACCAGTTTTCTTCAAATGTCTTGTTTATGTTGACAAAAACAGTTACTGATTCTACCAAAAAAAAAACACATTAAATACAATGGTGTCAGAATTGGTATCATCTGCAAAAAGATATTGGATTGAATCTGAAAATTAGACATACCCATTGATTTGTTTTGGACTAGAAGTAGAAATTTGCAGTAGTAACGCTATTTGACAGATGTTGCTAAAAAGCTTGAGTTCTGTAAACCGCAAATAAAGAATCATTCTCTACCTATTAAAAATTTAAAAATAAAAGGCCTTTTACAGTGAAACTTTAGGTATTTATTATGTATTAAATGGAAAAAGCAAAACAAATATATCACAGGTTTTTCTGTATTAGGAATAACAGAGAGGACTGACTTTTTAAAAAAGTATACAAAAATTATCATTATTGCCCTGTGGACTAATTTCACACACTTTGTAAATTCAAAAAACATTCAAAAACGTGTGTCATAAACAACATTAAAACAATTTTCTACCAGATAACCACAATTTTTAACAAAAAATAATTTAGTAGTCATTAAAGGATTTTTGACATTAAAATATTTGTGGTCATCCGATATAAATTTTGTGAGCCCTCTCAGGACGAAACACAACAAAATAATAACAATAATTATTAATAATAATAATAATAATAATAATAACATACAAAAAAGTATTGTTTATAATAATAAATAAAAGAAACATCTAAAAATCACTAAAAACAGTATGTATCAATAAAAAACTTCAAATTTATAAAAAAAATATACCGCCTTCATTTTTCAAACGACTCACATTGTAATACAAGAGTGTTTTCTAAACGCACTCCAAAATTAATACGTCAAATGTCATAATTGTCAACATGGACCATTAGTCATTATGTTCCAATAGCGGAACAAAACCATTTTGAATTTGTATGCGCATGTGTAGTACAATTTTTTGAGCATTTAAATCATACTACACATGCGCATACAAATTCAGAACGGACTGCTATTATATTGTAAACACGTTTGCAGTGTTGCCACTTTTGAATTATTACCATAATTCATCAGATTTTTGTTTTGTCAATTTCATAAAAATGAAGTTTTTACACTGACTCACCCTGATAGTAACAAAAATCTGAAATATACCTACATCTACCTAGATACAAAAATATACAACTATAAATAACAAATCCCTTGCTTTTTGTTGCAAAAATTAGGCTAAATTATTTTTTAATTTTGTTTCAATTCTGACGAAGTTTTTTTTGATCAGCTTAGAAACGTCGAGTTATTATTAACGATTCTTAAGTACTACATGCCTTGTTCAAAAATTTTCTCGTTATTGAATATCTCATATATACAGGACGTCAGACGAAAAATAATACTTATAATTAGGTATATAATTGTTAAAAACTAAATGCATATTTCACAGAGGGATAAAATAATAATATTTACATTATTAGTCATTGAAAAATAATAATAATAATAATAATAATTATTATCGTGTTTATTAAAATTTCAATGTACAAGTTATGGCATATAGAAAATGGACATCCTGTATATGCACCGATGACAAACAAATTCCTCTGATATGTTCTTATACTCGTACTAAATACGGAACATATTTTTTGATACACATGTACCTACTTTGTAACTTTGACAAATTTCTTTTTAAATATAGAAAGTTGATCAAAAATATATACCTTAAAAGGATGAATATTGTCCAATTCCTTTACATAATGTGTTAATTTGATATTTTATTATAATAACTTTTCTGCCTTCATAGACTAAAAATCGAAAACAGGGTCGGTTTTGCCAAATAAACGTTCTATCAAATTTCCGAGTGATTTGGCAACATCGGCAAACCTTTTAGAAACCTTTTTTGCGTTTGTTTTCAGAAATTTCTCCTAGAAAAGATGGCCGCCTAAATATAGCATACATCATCTTCATGTTATCACAGATCAGTGGTTAAGAGTTTAGAAGTGACAGCTGAGTAGTATTATAGTTTGAGCTTTTTGTTGCTAATTTCCATTTTACGAATAATTGACACTTGTCATTATTATTTTGATTGCTTTTGTTTTGTATGGCATTTGGAACATTAAATATGTACTTATGAGCAGTTTACTTTGTCATTTGTCACTTGGATGCACACCGTTGCCAACTCGCTTTACAAAATATAAAGTTAAGAGGTAATGTTTTACATATTTATTTGAGCAAAACAGATTCTATAAATTCGATTTTATTTAATTAAAAACTCAACATATGTTACAAAAAAATGGAATAAATACTTTGTACCTATAGCTATATATCTAAAAATCCAAAAACTGGGATTCAATTTAGTGAAAATATCCTAAATTTTGTTTTAACTTGTGGCATTATCCAATCCTACATACCTTTATAAGAGCCTAAATATAATGTAAAAAGTGCTGTTCTTTAAACTAAAACTATTTATTATAAGTTTACATTATTTTTCATTTTTCAAAAACGTTGCTACTAATATTAAACTTTTAAATAATGGCATGTATATATTTGGCAATTAGGCAGCTTTCTTATTTCTAATCGTTACAAAAAAAATTATACATTACACAGTTTTCCACTCAAATTCGGTAAGATTACATATTGTTTCTAGTTTTTGATTAACTATATATACTTGGACTATAATACTGGAATTATATGAAATATAATACAGGAAAATTAATTAATAAATCTAAAAATATTTTCTTCTTCATGAAATTAAAAATAAATTCTGTAACGATGAGAAATTGAACCTACCACCTTGGTTTAGCAATATACCTATGAAAATGTGTTAAATCTTTCTTGTGGCCTATTCATTATTAAAACTCGCAGAGCTTTTAAAAATCTATCAAAATACTGATAAGGTTCTTCTCTTTCCGATTCTTCTCAGTAAGTAAATATGATCACGACAAAAGGTTTGCTTGAATGTAGGACTGATTTAATGGGCTAACTGTTATCTTTGGTGTTGGCTTCTAAGGGTTTCGTATGTGAGTCGCCCTGAACATTCTGGTTGGCTGCCGATTGTACCAGGATCGAGGATAGAGCTTCCAAAGACTGTCTAACCTGAAGCAGAATAAATGAATCATCGAATAAAATAAAATCGAAATGGTTTTATTTCTTGACTAACCTGAGCAATTAAAACTAAATTGGAATCTAAAAAATTATTGACGGCTCCCGCTGATTTCGAGTGCATCTGCGAATGCCACTGCAGGAGATCGTTGTACACGTCCTTGGAGCCCTTGATCATGTTCTCCTGCAGCACCATCGAATATTTACTTTGGATTTTGCTTATTCGATAGAGCAGCACGCCGGCCGAGAAGAAGAGAAGGATGAGTAGTAAGGTTGTCGCGCACAGAATGAGACTTTGGCGGGGTAATTTTCTAAATTCTAGTATGGCGTCCTTAAGGGTCCGTATTAAGCCTCCTCCAGAATCTTTGTCGTATTGGGAACCTGAAAATAACAAATAGAAAACATTTAAGTTCAAGTGGCAGATTATTAATTAATCGTTTTTTGACAGCTGACGTCAGTCAGGAGAGTTTATAAGAGTCCTATAAAGTGTTTCATTCTAAAAAAAATAGCCTCAAATTAATCAGAGAGCAACCAGCTTCGTTAAAATGATTAAAAAGTTACCTATCGCACTGATGCCATAATATGTGACAATAGGCAATAATGAATCTAACTCAAAATTCATTGAAAAAGGTGTACCACAGGCTTAATTCTGACACCTTTTCTTTATCTTATATATAAAATGGATTTAAATAATATTGTGCGACCGTATCATATATCGACCCTGTTCTTTATTGACCTTCACTGCTGCTGTTACGTCTGACGCTGGCCCGCTGGCGATGGAGATTCGACTAGAAACTAGAGTGTTTTCTTTGTACCCAGTCCGACACGCGAAGGAAGGATTTCGAGAACTTCTAGACTAGCCTCGATTCTTCTAGCTAAAATTGTTTTTCTATTCTGTTACATTTTTGTATATAAATGAATTATTTTGTCGTAATACGTTAGGTTTCAATATAAATGTTGCTAAGTAAAGGTTAATTGTTAAATACATTATAACTGTGAAATAGTGCTTTAGTATAAATAAATGAATTAGCAGTTGGTGTGAATAAATTATAAACTAAAATAAACAATCGCTACAATAATGCTGTAAACTGTACACTAGACCAATTTGCTGATGATACCCAAATTATAAGAGCTACTTAGTTATTGAACTGGATAATGCTAGTTCAGAAATCAAACTCTGCATAATATATACGGGTATTCAGTAAAACATAGGCTAAAAATACATCCTACAAAAACTCAAGCAATATATTTTGGTAATGTTACAGAATCAAAGGAACCAAAAGAGGTTAGCAAAGAAAGCTTGTATTTCGTACAAAATTCTTTTATTTACAAAATGCAGAAAGCCATCTTTTGTTGCTTATTGTCTGCCACAAGAACATCCAAAAAGTTTAAAAACCATTCTAAATACATCCGAACATTAATTGTTGGAGTGTCCCATCTTACTAAATAGTCATTATTATTTTCTTTAAATAATTTTGGTTTATTAGTTAAAATTAATAATTTTTTGGATAATTTATGTAAGCCATTTTATATCTCCCCACGATAAATGACCTTATTATAGGTGTTTTAACTTCGCTCAAATCCTACATAAAAACAAAAGAAGATATGTACGTAGTTATAAAAAAATCCACCAGAGGTCGTTAAAACGTGAGGTACCCTTTGACCATTATAAGAGCTAGATAAAACATTAATGTTTCGTGTTTTAACATCAACATGTATCCAACTTAAAGATCTGGCCATTAGATGATTGGTAAATCGTTTGACAGGTTATTATATTAATGTTCACGGAGCAACGGAGCATGACAGTTATTTTAGGTGTATATAAAAACACAGTATGTATCTAAAATAAGCATAGTTCTAAAAAATCAGTCAAAGGCCCTTAGTAAATGATGTACCCGTCTGACAATTAAAAATATAGACGAAGACTATCGTTGTTTCAATCTATTAATCTGAGCAAGTGCGTAAAAGCATTTCAAAAGATGGGACCATAATTTGGCATGGGTTTGACACAGTTTAAAGAATATAATCTAGAGGGAAGGTGTTTTGTGGATGGCACCGCTTCCATAGATATATAACCAAGACAGATGGGATTGTTTACAACATTTCTGAAGCTAACACAAGTTCAGAATCTAAGCATCCTTTGCAGAAATGTAATCATCTGATTCAGTACAGCAAAGTTTACGGAGTTCTTAACTAAAAATAGCATTATCCATGTACTTATGCAAAATAACACACTTTCTTAAAAATTAGTTTAAAAAGAAAATGAAAACTGTTTGTTATGAATTTTGAAAATTAGATTATAGTATGAAGTTAGGAATAGTCATGTTAAATGATTTAACATTTACCTACAATAACTAGGTATTTATTTTCATAAAAAAATCCCTAAATACAGGGCAATAGAAATAAGTTTATTGTAAAGAAACACGAACAAAATGTCTTATATGTAATTTAACGTTTAGCTAGCCCGACAACACAAGTGGTTGAAATGAAATATCATTTTACAGGTTGTTATGCAACTAACAATGCATGGAATAGTGATGGAAGATATTTTTTCTACACCCGTATTATAATAATGCACTTATATGCCCATAATCCGTTTCATAATGATACCCATTATGATACAGATTTTTCATTACGATACAGATTTTTAATCAATAGAAACCTACAATTTTTCAATCAAGCATGCTGTTTGACGTTTGTCCTAGGTTCCTATGTAATTATTTTAGTTGTCAAAACGTATTAAATTTTCGTAGGTAGCTAAACTTCGATAATTATAATATTAAAATGTCTGATATTAGCGATATAGAAGACTCCTCCACACATATCGGAGAAAGCAGAAAATACAGTACAAAATATTTTACCGCAAAAATCTAGGGAAATACCAATACCTGAAGTAATACCATTAATTACAATTTTGTAGAATTTTTTATAGAAATACGAGTAATTACTGTTATTGTGTTCAATACCAATATAAATATAATATTTATAGGTCTTGATTATTTATCGGGTGTAGAAAAAATAGCGTATGCAACTCTCATGTAATGGTTATTAAAACACTCGCATAAACCATACGAAACTCGCCTTTGGCTCGTTTCGTATCCCGGTTAATGCTCGTGTATTAATAACCATCATTACATGATCGTTGCATAATATACTATTATGTCACAGGAATTTTGTCACTGATATAATAATTACCGTAGTTACAAATGTCACTTGTTATTTCAAACTGTCTCTAAACGCTTCAAGTTGGAAGAATATACAGTGTGTGTGCGATAAAGTTGGATTTTGTTTTTAATATTACGATTGAAAAAAAATATCGTAGAGCCATCAAATACAACAAATTTTATGAAATATTTGATTGGAAGTACCTACCTACAAAAGAATGATGGTAAATCATTTTTTATCCAAACACAATTTTATAAATTAGACAAAAATTTGTATGTTACACGTTACGAAATACCGTTTTGCGTAATTCGTTCATTTTGCGGGAACTCGCTTCGCTCGTCCCGCAAATATTTACTCGTTACACAAAATGTGGCATTTCATAACTGGTTATATAAATAGCTATTATACTTTTCGGGAAAGAAATATTTAAAAACATAAGTACTGTAGGTACTACTTTCACGAAAGAATAATGTATTAAACAATTTTAATTCAACATAGTCAATCTACAGAATAGCTACGGAGAGTCCAAAATAAATAAGAAAATTCGTTCTTAGAAATTATTTCCCAACTTCACAGCTAGAGGGCGCAATGCTCATTATCAATGATAAAAACTTGTTAAAAAAAGTCAAATTATGTTATTCGAACCTATCAAAATCATATTCTGCACGAAGTTTTACTAATTTTGACTACCCACTCGTTTATCATTGGTCATAAGCATTTCGCAATCTAGCCGCGAACTTAGAAAGTAGAAAATATTTTCCATCGATTACTACTTAATCACGTTGATAATTTTTTTCCTGAATTCTACGGCGCATTGTTTAAGATACCGGCTGTATTTTAGAGCCAACAACAACCGGAGGCTTTTCTCATTTGTACACTCGGTACTTTTAGAAAACAGTGAATATATCTGCTAAAATAATAAATAAGAATAAAAAATAATTAGTGAGGAACTTAATTGATATTAAATATTTCCCTTTAAGACTGAGACGCCCGTGGGTTTTTTCAATACAACAGCAGAATGATAAGCGATCCGCTATGTTTTATGCCAACATAATCGGTTCTCCCACTCAGATTTAGAGATGGAATGATTAAGCTTTAGCTTCCCAACAAATACACTTTTATCAATGACTAGTTGGGGATGTGACCGCTTCTCCTACTCTAAATCAAGCGTATATCGGTAAATACGTTAAAACGATTAGTTAAATGATGAACCATTTTAACCATTAAAGAGATTGGCAAATCATAGAATGTTTTGTATTCTAAATCAACATTAAGTTATTTAATGATTGTCAATCGTTGGACAGATTAATATAATAAATTATGTAATCAATGGTTTCATCTATTTGATTAATCGACGTTACGGCACAGAATAACCTACCTTTACGGTGTCGGTTCGTAGACAACACGGTAACCTCTTCTGTCCGGTGCTAAGGAAGGGTGTGACGCCAGGGAATGAATAATCGAGCTGACAGAAAACATCTAATATTTTACTCATATTTAGCGGTGTTTATGTTTTATTTTTGGACTATATACCTGTGTTGGAGATTTTATAAAATCAATAATTTGATTTATTAAAAGACAAGTTATTTTTATTTAAATTATAAAGAGAAATATTATTGTGTGAACGGTTTATTTTAAAGATATTGAGTTGGGGCACGCCTTCCGAGCTGAATTCGGATCACATTTTGTTCGAAACTAAAATAAATAAATAAAATAAATCTAAGATATGGTCTTTTGGATGATGTATTTAAATGCTCCAGTATAAGTAATGTTAAATGTGTATTGTATGTATATAAGCCACAATAAATAAAACTGGATTTCTCTAATTTGTTACCTATATTTATTATAATAAAACTGGGTTGTTGTTGTCCAAGAGGCCCCTAGTATCTTCTATAAAATAATTTGTAACTATGTAATTTTTACTAAAAACTTCCTGTAGTAAACCCTTTTTTCAATAATCTACGTTCTTTTAGTAAAGCCCTTTGACTTTTCTTGCTCCTCGTTGTGTTTAAGTGTTTAATGCTTGTAAGAAACCATCTCGTCTATTTTTAAATGTAGGGTGGACAATGCTGCAATTAATTTAATAATAGTGTTACACGGGTTTTTGGTATCGCAATTTACTTCAACCATAGCCCTCAGAAGGTCTAGATACCGCATCGTAAAAACATTTTGACCCCCCATATGATGGGCGCCATGATAAATAAATGTCAATAAAT